TATTTATTTTTTTTTATATTTTACTTTTCGTTTTTTTCTTTTGCGTTTTTTTATGTTTCTCTTCCTTCTTGTCCTTTGATTTAGATTTCTTCTTTTTTTGTTTATTTTTCTTCTTGGCTGAAATTTCTTCATCCTCTGACGATGATGAAGAAGAAGAATCCGTTGTAGTGGAACTGGACAAGGTGGAACTAGATGATGAACTAGATTCATCTGCGCTGGAGATTTCATCTTCTTGAGTGTTTAATACTGGTACAGGAATTGGCTTCGAACGGGACTTCAAATGTTCTCTCAAGTCATCGGTCAAACCACCCAAACCGATGGAGGTAAAAAAGTTGATGGCAAAACGCGTATTTTTCGGATCATCTCTGGGAAATAGTCCTTCGAACACCTCCTGCAAGGTCGGATCCTTGACTCGTTCATTCAGTTTCGTCAGACCCATGTATTCGGAGAGTTCCTGAAAGAGGATCTTGATGAAAATTCTGTTGGAGCTGGTGGTATCCTCCTCGTTCAGTTTTATGCACGACAATACGCTCCACGAAATGGAATCCGTGAACAGCAAATGGGCGAAGAACTTGGAGACGTTTCGTAATTTGTTTGTGTCGAGACGGTGTATTGTGTGATAAGAATCTTTGAAGATCTGTTCGAACGGGGTCACGTACATCTTGTTGATGGCGCAAAACCGACCGGCCAAAAGGCCAAAGAACTTTTCGTACGTACGCATCTCTGCACAGCAATCCAAAAACATGTGACATAGCTCGATCTCCTGTCCCGGCTTTAGTTGCATCTTCATCAACTTGTGGGCGCATTCTTCGAAATCGAGCGAGGAGTGTATCGTCAAATATATGGTTCGACGAAGGGCGGTCAAATTTGTCTCTGTATTGTCGAATATCACGTCCTTCTTTCCCTCGCCTTGTTCAGCGTTGCTATCTTCGTCCGAGCTCTCCTCTTCCTCTTCCTCCTCGTTATCATCTTCCGTATCGCTGACATCAGAACCAAGAATCTCCTTACATAATTGTTTATACTTCTCCTCGCTGGCCAGATATGCTTCGTCAAACTTGAAGACATTTAATATATCTTGCGCGTTCATCTCGTCGTCCAGTCTTATCAAATGAGTAATTTGATTTTTCTCCTCCACGAGATCCAATTCCTGGAGAACGGCTTCGTGATCCTTGAAACCGTCCTTCCTGATCTGAAACATAACTTCTATCATGTACTGAACTCGCTTGTCCAATTGACCTTCGTGCAGTATATTTCTCAGCATCTCAAAGATAGCTTCTATGCCTCTTCGTGAGACTTCTGTCAACTTCATGCCACACTCCTTCAGGAACGCTATGGCCACTTCGACAGAATCGTCCGTTGGGGTTTCCAGCAACAACGTCAAGATTTCTAAAGCTATAATCTCATAGGCCACCCGCTGATTAACCAGATGCGCTATAAAGGTACCTGAAGAGATGCACAGAGGTTTATCGTTTCTCTTAAACCCTCGTTTAAATTGCAAAACCAGCCGGGTCAGTACCAGTTCACCTATATTGGGGAATTTGGAGTTGATTATAGCTGTTAGTGCTGCGTAAACTGGGGTGAATGTTGGAGAGGCGGCCTGAGCTTGAATAATGGACCTCGCCAACAGACCTCTACCGCGAACAATGTTCTCGCGTAGCAATTCCCTAGTTATAATTCCTATATTACTAGTGTTGATCTTATTGATGTAGCCATGGATGGACTTCTTCAACGCCTCCCATGCAATGCGTTGATAAGCTGTTCCAGACTTATCAGTGATCTCTGCCTGAAGCATACGCAGCTTGGCAGGTGGAATGTAAGCACCTCCCGTCTTCGAGGTCAGAAGATCCACCGTACGCTTCTGCCTGACCTCATCTAGCTTCTCTTGCGTTTTATCCTTGATACCTGGTTCTCCATAATACCTGCTTCCTATCTCTTCCTCCTTACTTGGCCTTTTTCGGTCCCTTTCGCTATTACTGTCTCTATGATCGTCGTCGTACCTGGAACTTTTGTGATGATTATCGCGTCTAGCGTGTCGATGATGCTCGTCGTCGCGTCTGGAACTTCGATGATTACCGTCTCGTCGGAAACTCCTATAATCGTCGTCGTCGTCACGTCTGGAGTGTTCCGATCGTCGTTATACCTGGACTCTCTTTTACGATCATCGCCGCGTTTGTGATCTCTTCGCTTGCGATAGCGTTCCTCGGCCTCTTCTTCGTCTCGTTTTGAACGCGATCTCTTCATTTTTGTGTATTTGTATCTCTAACCTAACGCTCGGTACAATGCTTGTTTTCGGATTGCTTCAATCTTTATAAAGTATAAAGGTCGTGACACGTGAATAGTTTGATCCTAAAGGCTGTATCACACTGCGAGTTAGGATTAGATTGAAATTTCACCAATCAGAGCAAAGTTCACTAAACTTGAGATTGGTTTTCTTTATTCTGATTGGTTATATTTTAATCCAATTGTGAATATTATAAATAATTATAATTATTTATAATCATTATTTATAATAAAATTAATTATAATAATCTATAATAATTTTTTTATTATAATTATAATTATTGTAATTTTTATTATAATTATTATAAATATTTCTAGGAACTCTAACCAATCAGTCAGCAGCTGCTTAGCTCTGATTGGCCAATCCGACGTAGAATGTCCAATACAGAGCTCTGGTCCAATAGAAAAACTTGTTTTCTAGTAATTCCAGTTAGTAATATTTTAAAATCAAACAGGATAATTTTCGGGATTTTAAAATTCTGTAGCCAATAGCCAATCGCATAGTGTGTATTGTTTTTTGGCGAAGACGGTAATTAAACTCTCGTGGTATAAAAGATTTAACTTAATTTGCTTTTTTGTAACATCATATTTCAGAACTTGCTTTATTTTATTATAAATAAAATTATAAAGTAAATAATAATAATATATAAACGTCAATGCAAAATCATTAGAATTAATAGGTTTTCAAGGCACAAAAAATTACTCCATTTTGTTTGAATTTGTTATTCTCTCTTAAAAACTAATATCTATAGTATTTATTAGAAAAAAATATAATTACTTTATGCTTTTTACGGGATGTTGAGAAATTGATTATTTTTATTAATTATTTTTTAATTAATTAATTAATTAACTCTTGTTTGTTAGACGTTTACATTGTCATTAACTTTAAAATTTATTTTTTAAAAAAAGTAAAAACGGAACAACAAATTCTGAAATATGATGTTATATGAAAGAGCGAATAAATTTTTTTGAAAATACGTCAAAAATTTAATTACGTCACTAGCGTCACGTTTTCGTATTAACATTTATATTGTTATTAATTTATCATTTATTTATAAAAACAGTAAAATATGGAGAAAATTTTGAAAATTGAACATTATACAAAAAATATTTATTGAATTTTAATCATTTCTTCAATGTTAATATTTCTTAATAAATTAAAGTAAAATAAATAATTTTTTATTAATTAAATTAATTAATTTTAAAGAATTATTTAATTACTTTTTGTTTGTTAGACGTTTACATTGTTATTAACTTTATAAAAAATTATTTTAAAAAAAGCAAAATGAAGCAACAAATTCTGAAATATGAATATTATGAAAGAGCAAATAAATTTTTTCGAAAATTTAATTACGTCACTAGCGTCACGAGTGCGACAATTTACGATTGTAGTAATATTTGTCCACAAACGATAACTTTTTAAGGGTCGGCAGTACACCCAGGCAAACTCCGAATTGATATTGGAGACCTCGTGCGGTGACAACGCGAAAACTCCGGTTTCAGTGTTGCCAACGCCGAGAAACCAATTCTCGGGTTTTATGTAGTGGTGTATGTCTGTACACGTACATACACCAACTGCATCGCTCACGCGGACGCACGTAAGAGAGACAAGGACCGATAATCACGGTTCTCCTTGTTCATCTACCTACCGTGCCGGTATACGCGAGATGCCGCCTGAAAATGCTTTCTGGCCTTCCGTAGCAGAAAGCAGTAACGTAGCAAGACTAATAAGCACCCACTTTTTGGAAGTATATATGGTTATGCACTATGTGCATAACGTATATATATAACATATATATATATATATATATATATATATATATATTATATAAGGGATATGTTGATTATATTCTTGATTTCTTTTTGATTATTGATGCTATTGGTAATTTGCTCCAAATACTTATAACGTGAAAGAACGTTGAGTAATGTATAATCAATGCAAGGATGTTCAGTATATCATCCAGTATATAAATTAGAGTTCAAATATATCAATATCAATTTTTTATTAATATATATATATATATATATTAGAATATAGAAAAATGATAAAAAAATATATTTCGGCGATTTTAAAATTTTTTAATATATGAAAATATTTTACTACATACACTATATATAAGTGTAAAATAATTCAGAAAATAAATTTAATAAAAATCTACATACCAGCTGTTGCATGTGTGCAATTGATTTATTACTTGAAATTTATTTACGGATTATTTTGCATTTATATATTTATAGTATGTGTAGTTGTAAAATGATTAAAATATTTCAATATCAAATTTTAAGTTTATCGCCTATATAAAAAATATATTTCTATGATTTTCTATATTCCAATATATTATAAAAAATTGATATTGATATATTTGAACTCAAGTTTTTTACGTGATTAAATATTCTTGCATTGAGCCATCATACGTTACTCGTAAGTTCTTTCACGTCATAAGTACTTATGTAGCAGAGAGAAAGAAATGAGAGTTATACAATGTAACATCAATAATCTTATATATTTAATCTTATATATTATATATATATAATATTTCATTTATTTATAAAAAACATTTTATAAATAAGTAAAATATTATACAGACAATGTACAAGATGTTCAGTTTGTGCCATAACAAGCTTTAATCAATAATTATTACTCCAATGAGTATAATTCACAATAATTTTTATATAATATAATAAATATTGAATATATAAAAATATTTTTAAAAATTTGTTTTAAAAATTTAATTGAAAAAGAATATTTAAAATATTTTTTTATATTTAAAATATTCTTTTCCTCAATTAATCTTAAAAAAATATTTTTAAATATTTAAAAATATTTAAAAATACTATATATTATATAAAAATAATTGTTGATTATTATATTGGATTATTATTGAATGAAGCTAGAGCTTTTAATATGGCTTTTAATACTGCTTGACAAGGAGAGAGCATCATTCCATCTTTGTCTCTCTTACATCGCATATGTAGTAGCGTCCATGTAGGTACAAACCACTAAAAAATATTAAATTTAATTTTTTTATTGTTTTGAATAATTTTATCATTAATATACTTATTTTCAGAACTATTTCAATTTTTATTTCATACTTAGTTTATATAAATTATAAATTAAAACATATCAAAAATGTAATACATATTAATAAAATGCAAATACATATAGAAAATTAATTATAAAATGTCATCTTAAATAGTTTTTATTTTTGTTCTTATTTACATATGCATACATATACAAAAAATAAAAATAATATGATAGCCTTTTTGCTGACATTATCTCTCAATATTTGCATCCGTGTGCTCACGTATTAGTGTTTGTACCTACATGGACGCTACTACATATGCGATGTAAGAGAGACAAAGATGGAATGATGCTCTCTCCTTGTCAAGCAGTCAGCATGTTACCACAGAAATTTCCCCTGCTCCTTATGAATCTAGTGAGAATCTTATCGTCCAGATATTTCATAAAATAAGTGACATAACTTCGTGAATTTTTTTTTAATATATTCTTTATATAATAAAGCAGTCCTCTAAAAGGCGGATTTTACATTTTCGCTCTTAAAAATTTATAATAAATAAAATACGGACTCGCGGCTAACCCAACCTTACCCGTTCCTAGCTGTGCATTCCCCCAAGTTTATTAAAAATTTTTATTTTTATCTTTTTTTCATAAAATAGCTCTTTAGAGGACTACAAATGAGCTTACTGATTAAGAAATCCTAAATTTAATAAGATATCAAATTTTCGCTAATATCTGGAAAATAAGAATCAGTATTCCCGCCGGCCGATAGGCGTAGTAATATGTCCCAAACGGACTTTTTAAGAGCTTTTATTAATACGTGTTATCAATGAGAAATTACAATAAAAAGTGAAAGCAATAAAAGATGTATTTGTTTAATAAACAAATGGTCTGTAACATAGTAACGAAGGTGTAAAAACGTATAAGGTGTAAGTGTATATGTGGTGTAAGTGTAGATGTAAAAATGCTATAGTTAATGCTGCAGTAACGCCACAGTACTCCCCCCCAAGCGACGACTACGTTGCGAAATGGACTTTCTTCTTAGCTGGGTAAGTTCGTAGTGGTTTTCCGAAAGAAGCAGTAGAAGAAGTACTATGATCATCCATGACTGATGTGGTTGTAGGAACTGCAGGTACAACTGATGGTACAACAGATGTGGTTGTAGATGTAGATGTAGACGAAGTGCTCGAAGAGGATGAATGAAGAACAGAAGAATCTTCCTTGGGAAAAAAGGCTGGTTTCAGACGTTCCGTTGAGACGTTGACCAATTTTCCTGAAATGTCAATAGTAAACAAAAAATCAGAAATTCGTTTGTTAACAAGAAAAGGACCAGAATAAGGTGCTTGAAGAGATTTCTTAACAGCATCTTCACGAAGCCAAACATGAGTACAATCGTAAAGATTTTTGTGTACAAAAGGTGATTTTTTGGAGTGATGATGGGTAGGAGAAGATCTAATATTCCTCATATGTATTCTATGTTTCTCTAAAAATATTTCAGGATCTGCTGGAAAATCTTCCTCAATAAAGAATTCACCAGGAATCCGAAGAGTAGTTCCATAGAGTAATTCAGCAGGTGAAGTTTTCAAATCTTCTTTGAAACACGAACGAAGACCAAGAAGAACAGTAGGTAAAGATTCCAACCAATTCTTCGTCTGATGACACATAATTGCAGTCTTAACAGTCCTATGCCATCTCTCCAGAATTCCGTTTGAAGCTGGATGATAAGCAGAAGTTCTCTTGCGATCACATCCAATCAAATTAGTTAATGCTTTAAAGAGAGATGCTTCAAATTGTGGGCCTTGATCTGTAGTAATAGTTATAGGAGATCCATATCTAGCCACCCAATGAGAATAGAAAGCTGTCGAAACTGTTTCAGCAGTTATTTCTTTAAGTGGAATAGCTTCAGGCCACCTCGAGAATCGATCTATTATTGTTAAGCAATAACGGAAATCTTGACAAGAAGGAAGAGGGCCTATTAAATCCAAATGAACATGTTGAAAACGCTGATCAGGAACC